GATATCGGAGGTTGGTTGGAAGACTTATTCATTTTCCCACTAGACCAGATATAGCCTATTCAGTCAGCTTGGTAAGTCGGTTAATGCATGATCCCCGAGATTCTCATATGCAAGTTGTCTTTCACATTTTATGATATCTGAAGTTTGCTCCAGGCAAAGGTATGCTTTTCTCCAAACATGATCACCTCCCGGTAGAAGCCTATATAGATGCTGATTGAGCTGGATCTCTAGATGACAGAAGAGTTACATTCGGTTACTGTATACTCGTTGGAGGGAACTTATTTGGAGAAGCAAGAAGCAAAGTGTAGTTGCTATATCAAGTGCAAGAGCAGAATAGATCTGACCCAGGGTGTTTGTGAACTTCTTTGATTGCAAAAGTTACTAGAGGAATTGAGACGGTCCGAAAAGGGAAAACTTTCCTTATACTGTGACAACAAGGCTGCCATCAGTATAACTCATTATCCAATCCAGTATGACGTGTTGAAATTGCACTTCATCAAAGAAAAAGTTGAGTGGGAACTTTATATAAATTCCCTTGTTCATGGGATGTAGCAATCATCATAGAAATACAAGAAGCCTTTTCTTCTTGCTAGAAGTCTTCACTATTTATATTTGATCCTAGTGCTAATCTAACAAGAAGGCACAGAAAAGGAAATAAGGAGGACTCCTTGTAGAATTTCTAATCTGACATAAGAGAAAGAGATGAAACTCTCCTGTACAATGATTTTCACAAAAAAATTAGATCCATGTTGTTTCATGTTGTTTAGTATATGACATAATATGATTCTCTCCGAATGACATCCAGTCTACTATACACCCTGTAACCTCATGAGTACACCACACCCTGTAACCTCATGAGTACACCAAAAATAAACTAGGAATGAGAGGCTATTCCTCAAATGTACGTAGTCGTTCTCTATCCCGTCAAAAGCTTTTTCTCTATCCCACCAAAAGGTCTCCTATTTCCTTCCGTTCACAGGACCCATATGAGTGCTAGTGGAGCAACATATCAAGCTCTTCAAAATTTTTTCCTTGTGAATTTCCAGCTGGAGAGTCCCTCGTTCACTGTGCGGGGCGTCATCATTGCGTCCCAAACCTAATTCAAAATCTCACACCATAAGCGAATTGCCACCGAACAAATGTTGGGTTAGGTGGTCCACATCTTCACCTGGACATTTGCACATGAAGAACCAGCTGACATATAATCTGTTTTTTTCTCAAATTTTCAGCTCAGTATAGCTCCTCTCATTGCCAACCAAGTGGAAAATTACACCTTTCTAAAATTTTATGTGTAGTATATTTCAAGTTTCCAAGTTCAACCAGATTTTGTTTTCTTTTTCCTTGTCCCTCATGTCTAACCGATCAGATTGCCTCACGATTCATGACTGATTTGTCAGTCTTTGTCATCAACCACCTGCTTTTTATCCTTTCTGGCATGGGTTCTTCTCAGCAGTATTACTACATTCATGTGCAAATTTTGGAGTCTTCCCTCTACAGAACCGGTAGTTTGCTCTTGATAAGTAACCTTGGACCCCGATATTACTTTAGTCAATGAAGGACACTATTGACAGGATCTAGGAATGGAAGTAGAAGTCCTCTTACCCATTGAACAATTAGAAAATTTTCCAAATTTAACTGCAAAGATCTGAAATTTCTCAAGGAAGAATCAAGTCATCTGCCCCATTGAGTTTCATTTAGATGCATGATTTCTGTTCCCGTAAAGTGGCTATGTTTTTGTATTATCTTGTTAAAGCTGCGACATCAGATCTTGCACTCAGAAATCTTTTTTCTGGTTTCGCAGGCAAAACGCCTTCCATATAGAGAAGCTATGGCTTCCAAAATTCACAGGGGTAGCTCCTCCCAAGGCTCCTGGAGAGAGGAGATGCAGCAGGCTTCAGATAAGTCAGTTATAATCAGTGAAATTTTGGACCCAAGGACTAAAAACCTCTTGTCTATGTCAAAGATAAGTGACTATGTTTTGTCAAATGAGCTTGTTAGCATGGCATTGGCCATGGTGGCAGAGGACCGTCAAATAAATGATGTATTGGAAGAACTTTTCGCTGAAGAGGTGAGGCAACTGGCATGAGTCATGCTTACTGGGTTTCTTGATTTTCTCGGTCTCAAGTATTAGAGGAGCCACATTTTGCCCCAGTAGTCTAAGTTGCTCCGACACGGCAGTTTAGGTGCCGCACCCGTGTCGACACGACACTAGTATGGGTGTGAGTATGGGATCTGTACCGGATCTGGTCAAATAATTTTGGGTACTTTGACCACGACGGACCAAAAAATTTGAGGCGAGATATAATTTGATTCCCGAAATCAGAACCAAAATTAGGGTAAATTTGAAGAAAATAACATGACCTTATCTAGGAAATCAATCATTTACTTATCTACAACTTGAGAATAAAAAAAGAATCCACACTTTACAAGCTATACGTAAGTATTCCACAAAATTTCTCATAATTTAAATATTTTTATTTTTTTGAATTGTTTTCAGCCGGATTCCCGCACCCGTATCCGTACTAGGATCCGTATCCCCGAATCTTAAAATTTACATCTTGAACGATCCGACCTCTAAATCCCTTCCTATCATGCTAGTATTCTGCGACCTATATTAAGGCTGTAGTTATTATTGTTGTCCATGACTAATAAAAACCTTTTGACATTGCAGGGAAATGAGATGCAAATAAGAGGGGCAGATCTCTACCTTTGTGAGGGTGAGGAGTTGAGTTTCTACGAAGTGCTCCTACGTGCGCGACAAAGAAGAGAGATTGTGATTGGTTACCGTCTTGCTAATGCAGAAAAAGCTATCATCAATCCCCCAGCCAAAACAGAGAGAAGAAGGTGGTCAGTCAAGGATGTTTTTGTTATAATAGCTGACAAGGAATAAAAAATACTAACAGTGAAATCCTTTTAGCCACCTGAATTTCTCGCGTATCACTGGTAATGCAAGGTGCTGTAAGATCTTGTCAGTCACATCTCAAATAAATGAGCTATGGATGGAGATGAAAGAGCACTGAGTATAACGATGACATTTTGGTTCAGGAACCATAGCGTTACACAATCAACCAATTTGTTGCCTCATCAACTCTTGTTGTTCGTTCACCGAGTGTACTAGGATAATTGGTTACAGTTTTCTCTAAATGCCATAGGCAGTAGACTCTTTCCTCTCATGGAAAGGTATAACAATGTCTCTATAACGATGCCAATTTTGTTGTATATCAAGCCTTCAATGTGTTGTACCACTACACTAACTGTGAAGGCACAAATATTTATGTTGAACTTTGATCTATAATGCAGAAAGGTATCATCAAATTCTTGGGCTATGTTTCGACATTTTTTATTTATAATTTTGTTTTGACTAGACATGTCATTAAAGATGCAACCTAAAGGTGAAAAGGTAAAAAGAAATAGTAAAGGTAACTTCTCAGCCATCAAGTGGAATGTGAAGGCTATCATGGCCACACTAGAAGAGAAAGCAAGTATATCAGACTGGGTGGGTGGCATGTTTTGCTAAATTCGTAACACAAACTAGATCGACAAGAAAAGTGGACTCTGCTGACCAATGAACATAGTGTTTGCAGTGAATATCCAACAAATGTCTAACATGGTACATATTGTGTGAATTAAAGGTATCTAAGGGATCGGGCTGACTCGGGTTGACCCGGTAAAAGACCGGCCTGGACCGACCCGGTAAATGGGGGTAGAGCTGGACCATTCATCTTGAAAATCGAGGGTCGTGCTGGTTAGAATCTGCTTACCGATTCACCGGAACCAGTAATCCTGATAAAGAATTACCATATCCTTACTGGTTCCTTACCGGGTTCATGATCAAGACCAGCCGATTCAATGACTAAATTTTTTTTAATTTTTTGACCATCGGCAACGGTCAGAATTTTGGCTTCACTGATGCCCAACTACTATTTTTTTGCAAAATCAGCCATTTTGGCCTCCAAAATTTAAAAAATTGCCCCTCTTAAAATTTAAAAAATTACATCCTTACCCTTTGAAAAACTATAAATAGCCTCCGCTCTTTATTTTTCACACACAACTCTCTCTCAATTTTAATTCTTCCCCCTCTTTCTCTTTTATATTGCTTTCAAAAATCTATTGACATAATGGATAGTCCTCCTACGTGCCTAGACCCAAAGAAGAAGTAAGATGTGGAATTATTTTGATCAAATAAATACATATACAATTTAATGTAAACTTTGTACGCAAACATATAAGCATGAGCCAGGGGCAAATAGAGGGGGGACGTGTACTCTGGTCAGACATTTATTTTAAAGATACTGTCACGACCCAAGATCCATGTGACTAGCATTAACATACTACTCAACTCGAGCGAACCAAACCTATATATATATATACCCTCTCTTATATGCATGCAGAAGCCTTTCGAAACATAAGCATTTTTAAACAATAAAATCCATGCATGAAACTTAACCTTTAAAATATTTTTTTTTCATTAAACAAAAGACATAAAGGTAATTATTCATTCATGCATGTCATATGAGTAACCATAGCTTACAACCAAAAGAATAAACTACTTTTATCTATGGGATCTTGATGATACAGAATAAAAATAGTCAACCGTGAAAGACCCCGATGACTCAAAAGTATAAAATAAATGTTACTCCACGATAGTAAGACTGGAGCCTCACCAAAAGTATTAGTTGGAGATGTGGAGTTTTTCTATCCGCAGTGCTAGCACTACTTAGGACCGGTGCCTGAACACAAAAATATAAATTTGGCCAACTGGCCTAAGCTCCACATGCCTAGTATGAATCATGAACCATTTTTCTAAAAAATTGAACAAGAGAGGAAATAAAGATCAGGCGACATGTAAAATATTGATATAGCAAGGAAGCATTTATATCAATTCACAGTTTGAACAAGAAAGTGAAATAATAATGTAAAAAAATATTTCAAACTCATTTCCTTTAGCATTTCAGTTTAACCAAAATCATGTGATTTTAAATTTAATGGGTAGCATTATGCCAATGGATGCGACGCATCCACCCTCTTCTCCTATAGTTGGAGCATCTTTTATTCATAATTTTGCACTCCAAACATCCTAAATCATCACACACAACTTAATTAGTCGAAAACCAAAATTTAACATATGTTGGGCATTTTTAACACCAAATAGCACCAAAAAGTGGTTAAAACATGGGTAAAGTAATATTAAAACATATAGAAATATGCCCAACATCACCACCCCACACTTAAACCTTTGTTCGTCCTCGAGCAAAGTAAAATCAACCTGTAATAGGCCGAACAAAATTAAGCTTATCACTATCAAGCTATAATTTTTTTCTTAAGCACAAGCATACCTTGACTTTGGTTGATACCACAATTAGACCTTTGCATATGCATTCTTTAACTTACTTCCCCATATTTAAAATATGCCGAGCACAATATTGAATAGTTCAAAACAATCAAATAGGAAATTCGGGACATCTCAACCTCAGAAACTGACTCCCTGGCATAACTACTTTCAGGCCAACTTACTTACTCTGACTAAAGAGTTTAATAAAGTCACCTTTCCATCATGAAACATGTGCCCTCATCACAAATCAAAGAGAGATAGTTGACACACTCAAATAAAATTCGAACGTAATTTAAGGACTTCAAACAGTGGAAGAAATCGCTCACTCTCTCAAAGAAGTTCACATGTGCACAAAAGGTACCATAGGCTTGCCCGTTATGTAAGTCTCTGCTAATGTAGGCCTGCTCAGTCTAAAATTAATTAGGACTTTATCATGGTTGTAACATGGGCTAAGGAACGGGTAGGATATTTATAGAAAATAGTGGTTAACCCTCCTAAGCACTTTAACACGTCAAGTAATCACTTTAAGCGCAACTTTCTTCAACCCAACTCCAAACATCACCCCCAAAACATTCCATTTTTCATTAAGCACTACTTTGACTCACACTCACTAGCAAGGACAAGATGTATTATTGCTTTTGCTAATTTGTTTTCTCTTCTCTCAGATTTTTCTTTCTTTTTTATTTTTTTTACGATTTCTACTAGTGGTGTATTTCTTACAAAACAAGTGCACCTTTGTTCCTTTCATTGCTTTCACTTGAAATCCACCCAAGTTTCCTCCCTACTTCTTCTAGCGCTTATTTTACAAGTTAAGTGCTTTAAGAGGTAAAATGATCAACATAATATCGATTAAGAATAAAAAAAAAGGTATGGGCTTGTAATGTGGGTACCAAACAAAAGGTTTACAGGCTCAACATGACTAACTAGGGATAATTTTATTTGTGGTAGTATTAAAGTTCAAAAAGGATCAAAGAATGCCTAAAATCATATCAAACAAAGAAAAATCTAGGATTTCGTTTCAACTCACATGCAGGGCAAGTTCTAGACACAAATGTACTACATGAAACTATACAAAAATGTTACCACACAATGGCACATGATTCAATTAAGATGGATATATTCCAACTCTCAATCAAAGCAAGTACAGAGTTAAGCCACAATTTTAATGCACAAGGCACAACATTTAGCACAAGAGTCAAAAAATGAGCCTAAGCGTTACAAAACAAGCTATTTTATTTTTCACGGTACAAGTAGTTTTAGAAAACTCATAAGAAAAGTTATTATCCACATGCCTAGGTCTAACTCTGCTGGTAATCCACATGCCTAGGTCTAACTTTGCTGGTATCAAACAAGTTGTAACGATCTGACCGGTCGTTTTGAGTCCTAGCACGTCGTTCGGCGTTTTGAGGCCTTGAGTAGCTTCACTTCAGGTATTATGACTTGTACGTGTGGTCGAAATTGAATTTCGGGAAATCCGGAGTTGATTTAGAAAGAAAATTCTCATTTCGGAAGCTTTAAGTTGGAAGAATTTACTAAAGTGTGGTTTTGAGTAAACGACCTCGGAATTGGTATTTGAAGGTTCCAATAGGTTCGTATGATAATTTTGGACTTGGGCGTATGTCCGGATCGGTTTTTGGATGACCCGGAACTGTTTCAGTGCCTATTCTGGAGGGTTGGCATTTGGAAGAATTTTATAAATTTGGGTTGAAGTGCATTTCAATGTTGTCGATGTCCGTTTGGGATTCCGAGTCTGGGAATAGCTCTTTATGGTGATTCTAGTATTGGGAGCGCGTCTAAAAGTGGATTTGGAGGCCCGTAGGTCATTTGGCGAAAGTTAGAAATTTGAAAGTTTTTTTTGAAAAGTTTGACCGGGAGTGGACTTTGTGATATCAGGGTCGGATTCCGATTCCGGAAGTTGGAGTAGGTCCGTAATATCGAATGTGACTTGTGTGCGAAATTTGAGGTCAATCGGAGGTGATTTGAAAGGTTTTGACATCGAATGTAGAAGTTTGAAGTTCTAAACTTCATTAAGCTTGAATTGGGGTGCGATTCATGATTTCGATGTTGTTTGGCGTGATTTGAGGGTTCGAGCGAGTCCGTTTTATGATTCCAAACTTGTTGGTATGTTCGAACGGGTCCCCGGAGGCCTCGAGTGGCAATCGAACGAGGCTCAAACCAAGTTGAAAATTGGGAGCAACAACTGAAGCTCCTAGTTGTTGTCATAATTGCACCTGCGTTTGGCCATCTGCAGGTGTGAGCTACGAGCCGCAGAAGCGAAAGTGCGAGGCAGCTCAGCCACTGCAGGTGCGGAAGTTTTGGCGCACCTGCGTGACCGCAGGTGCGAGAGCAGTAGTCACAGGAATGGATGGGCTCACAGAAGCGGTCCCTTTTGTCCGCAGATGCAGAGCTTGGCCAGGTAAGGGAAATGCGCACTTGCGAGGATTTTGTCGCAGGTGCGAAAAGTCGCTGGGCAGAATCGTTTTAAAGAGCGGGATTTGGCTCTTCTTCTCTCACTTTTCACTTAGTTGGGGCGATTTTGGAGAGCTTCAAGGAGGGATTTTCATCATCTATGTCAAGGTAAGTGATTCCCGCGTATTGTGACTTAAATACAAGATTTATACATGGATGCAAGCATGAAAATTTGTAGAAATTTGGGATTTTGAAGAAAAACCTAAAAATTGGTATTCTTGGATTTTGATCATGAATTTGGGAATGAAATTGAGAATAAATTATATATTTGAGTTCGTACTGCTATGGGTAGTGTTTGTCTTCAAAAATATTTGGAATCCGGGCACGTGGGTCCGAGGGTGATTTTTATCGACTTTTCGAGCGGAGTTGGAATTTTTTTGTAAATTGAATTATAATGAGTATTTGAGTATACATTTATGGATTTGCACATTTACTGACTAGTTTTGGAGCGATGGGCATCGGCTTGAGTTGTTGGAAAGGCTTTGGAGCCGATTATGGGACTTCAGAGCGAGGTAAGTCTCCTTT